GGTATTTTAATTAGTGACATTTTTAATCCAACTAGAATATTAAGCAGTGGACTCTTACACACAGTTTTTTATAGGAATTCAAGTTATGTTCCAGAAGAGTGGCCCAAATACCTTTTCTCTTCTCTATTTGGTCCCACATACTGAAATTTCCAATTTTATAGTCGTGGAATTTTTCTAAGTTTGAGTTATGGTATTAATAATTGAGCTGTCTGAAAATTTACTGATTTTTTCTGCTAATCTTAAAACAACGGTAAATTATTTCTATTTGTCATAAGTTAATTATTTACAATGAGGGACTAGAATGAGTTTATGAAGAAGAGAGGCTCTGTCAGGCTCCGAACCTAACTTCTTAGGAGTTTTTGAAACAAGTACACATTGCAGGGAAGCTGAAACACAAGTGGAGGAGCTAGCAGTAAAAAATGTGAATATAATTTTCCACTTAGTGAATTCAAACAAATATGAATTAGATCTTGTTATTTAAAATGTGATTATCTGACAAAAGCCCAGGAACCAGCATGTTTGTTTCCTGTTTTAAAAGAAGTTTGTTGATATTCTCTAAACAAATCTAAAAACTATTTACACTTCAATTAAAAAAAAAAAACAAAAACAAAAAACAAAGACAAGCAACAACAACAAAACTCCAAACAAAACAACAAACCCAACCCTATCATTTCTGCTCCTGAGGAGAGTTAAGTAATGACAAAAATATTCTGTTTCAAATTCAGAGATGAAGTGATGCTAATACAAAATTTACAGAGAGTATATAAGAGTGTTGCAAGCAATTCAAGCATGGAAAATTTGAAGTACTGAAGAAATATTTGCTATAAACATAAATAGATACAAATGAGGTTTAGGGACATTTTATTTCATTTAAGCCTGTTATTCATATAGCATTTGTCCAACTTAATTTCATTTATGAAAGGAAATTCACTATAAGGCTGTGGATGTAATCCCTCAAATACAGCAATCACATAGGACAAAGGAACTTTTTTTTTTTCCAGCTAGCTCCTGTAAATAACTATAGTCTACCTAGCAATTTTTGAATGAATAAACTGTTCCTTTAAGTCCTAATAGGGATAGCTTTGCTCAATTTTCAAACTTTCAAATTTGAAAAAAAACATGGAAACTTTTGTTGTTTGGGATGAAATACTAATTAAGGACAGCCATTTGCCTAGCTACATCAGATTAATAGCCCCAAAGGAAACTATTTTATTGGAGAACTAGTTTACAGAATGCATTTGTTTTCCTAAATGAAATATGAAGTAACTTAGACACTTAGAATGATATTAATCCACAAGGGCAGCCTAGGAAAACTTTTTATTTGTTTGGCAGTTAAAAACTTAACATTTCTGTAGGTTTGACATTAACAGTCTCACTGAAGACAGGAGGAGTGAGTTCATGTGTTCTCTGGGATATTTTACATTGTTCCTTCTGGACAGCTGTAACTGTTATGGGAGGTCTGTGATCTCAGGAGGGTTTGAACCTGGTTTTATATTTTTAAAAATTGTAAATTATATCAGTCTTCTCCTAGAACTGTTAAAAAAACCACCAAAACCAAAAAGAAATAAAGCAATAAGAAAAGTTCATGGGTTTTGTGCTTATTATTAAACAGTTTTGTAGTTTTTGATTTTTCTTTAACCAAACAGAAAAATAAAACCTTTCAAAACTCTGTGAAGTCTTTTTTAAAATAATCTTCAACACTTTTTCATTTTCTTTTTAAAATGGAATGTTCTTTATTTGCTTCTTGTCACATTTTAATTCTATTTGGAACCTTAACAGCTGAAAGCTTTGAGAAATCAGGTGCATGCTGCTGAAAATATTACTCCAGAAAAATTGAGTTAAAATCAAAACTTGCTGTTTGTTTTTTTCTTGTAGTCAAACTACTGTATATGGAAGTGTAAAGAAACAAAAAAATCTGTAAAGAGAAATTTTTGAACTATGGTATAGGGATATTTGTTCCTGTTATTACATGTGATAAATTAAATTTATTTTTAAGATATCTATCCTTTTTATGCTTAGCATTTCTCATGAAAGAAGTTTTTGATAGTTGGACTACACAAGGAAAAAACCATTTTGTTCTGAATTTCTGTTACTTAGGTACTGTATTTCCTCTATTTGTAGATGATGAGTGCATTCTTAAGTTTCTTATCTTGAGCACAATATTTTCTTTACAAGTTTCTAATGCATAACAGACTGCACCCAAGGGTGCTGAAAGAACTGGTGAATTTCCTTCCAAGGCCATTTTTCTATCTTCATCCTGGGAGGTTTTCTGGACCCAGCTGGATAAATCTCTGAACAACCTCATCTTATCTCAGAGCTGGGCCTGCTTTGAGCCTGGACACCTCCTGAGGTCCCACCCACATCTCAGACAGGGGATCAAGAAAACCAAAGCACAGCTGGAGCTGAGCCTGACTAGGGAATGAAAAATAACAATGAGAGTTTCTTCAGGTACATGGGAGAACAAAGGAAGATGAAAGAAACTGTACCCGCAGTAATGAGTGAAACAGGGAACCTGGCTACAACAAATAAGAAGAAGGTTGAGGTACTCAAAAATCTTTCTGCTGTGTCCTTCACTAAGCACAGCAAGTGCTCTAGCCACAGCATTCACCTCACAGAATGGAAACACAGACTGGGAGAATGAAGTGTCCCCCACCACAAAAGACCACCCAGGTTAAAGACCATCTAAAGAACCTGAAGATGTAAAAGCTGATGGGACCTGATGAGATGCACTTGAGTGTCCTGAGGGAGGAGACAGATGAAATTCCTAAGCCTCTATCCACTGTCTTTGAAAAGTTGTGGCAGACTGTTGAAGTTCCCACTGAGTGGAAATGGGAAAACATAACCCCCATTTTTAAAAAATGAAAAAGGAAGACCCAGGCAACTACAGGCCAGTCAGTCTCACTTCTATGCCTGGCAGGATCATGGAGCAGGTCCTTCTGGAAATTATGTTAAGTCACATGGAAAATAAGGAGGTGATTGATGACAGCCAAAATGCCTTCAGTACAGGCAAATCGTGCCTGACAAACTCAGTCTCATTCTACATTGGCTCTACAGTGTTGGTGAATAAAGGAAGTAAGTGACTGGAATGACCTACCTGGGCATGTGCAAAACATTTGGTACTGTCCCATTCAACATCCTTATTTTTCTAAAATTGAGACGTGGATTTGACAAATATACTACACTACAAGTGAATAAGGAATTGGCTGGTCACCCTCAGAGTTGCAGTCAACAGTAAGTTGCAGTCTCTGGGTGGAGACCAGTGATGAGCGATGTCACTCAGGGGTCCACATTGGGGCCAGTGTCATCTGTTTCAAGGACATGGGCAGTAGGATTGAGTGCAACCTCAACAATTTTTCTGGTGACTCCAAGCTGTGTGGTGTGGTCAACACACTGAAGGGAAGGGATGCCATCCAGAGAGACCTGGACAGGCTTGAGAGGTGGGCCTTTGTGAACCTTGGGAGGTTCAACAACACCAAGTGCAAAGTCCTGCACCTGGATCAGGGCAATCCCAAATAAGGCTACAGGCTGGGTGAAGAGTGTATTGCGAGCAGACATGCAGATAATGATTTGAGGATATTGGTGGATGAAAAACTGCTCTGACTTGCCCATGCGCTCTTGCAGAGCTGGAAATCAATTGCACATTACGCCGCATCAAAAGAAGTGTGGCCAGCAGGTCAAGGGAAGTGATTCTCCCCCTCTACTCCACTTTTGGGACACCCCAACTGAATTACTTCTTCCAGCTCTGGGGCTCATGGCATAAGAAAAACTTGAGCCTGACAGAGTGTGTCCAGAGGAAAGCCATGAACATGATCAGGGGGCTGGAACATCTCTCCTATGAAGACATGCTAAGAGAGTTGGGTCATTTAGCCTGGAGAAGAGAAGACTTTGGGGAGATCTTGAAGCAACCTTTCAGCACCTAAAGAGGGCTTACAAGGAAGATGGGGAGGGACTCTATCACTGAGTGCAGTGCTAGGATGATAGATAATGTGTTTAAACTGAAAGAAGGTAGATTTTCACTGGATATAAGTAAGACATTTTTCAGTATGAGGGTGATGGCAAACAGGAAGACGTGTCCCAGAGAAGTTGTGGATGCTCCATAATTCAAAGTTAGTTTGGGCAGGGTGTTTAGTAACCCGATCTACTGGAACCCAAGCTGGCTATGGCAGGAGAGCTGAAACTAGAGGATATTTAAGGTCTCTTCCAACTCTCATCTATAATTATGACTTGAACTGCCCTGTGAACTTGTGAAAGGCATGAGTGGAAATGCTTTTAGAAGATCTCTCCATGCCTCTGACTACCGCTGAAAGTTCAGAGCAAGATGCAATTTGAGGGAATATAACAGCTCTAACAGTTGTAAAAATGGGGCAGAATCATTCAGATTCCTTGCAGTTAAGACTACTGAGGAAAAATGTTATTTGAGTATAGCTAAGATATTTTTGTATGTGTTTACATAATGTGTGTATATATAATTTTGTATATATACCTACATATTTATTTCTGGCCTCTCTTTTACTCTGTTTCTATTCCCTTTCTTTGCCATGTCATTGGTTCATCAATTTGACCTGTATTGAAACGTGGAGAGGTCTCCGTTTCTACTTTTAAGAGTTCATGTACTACTGGTCATATTTTACTTAATGTTATTATTCTCTAAAATTTTACAGAATAAAATAGCATAGAAATACTTTTCCTCATATCCTTTGAATTTCAAGTATTCTACAAACACAAACAGTTCTGATTTGTCTAAGGCCCTAATCTTGCAGTGGTTTAACCCTAGCCAGCAACTAAGCACCAACCAACCACTCACTCATTCCCCTTGATGGGATTCCTTACATGAAATTTCCTCCTTAAGAAGCTTGAGTATAGAATCAGACTCAGTGGTGCATTTTGGCAACTGTTCTTATGTAGATTATAATTTGCTTAGAATTTTCTAGATGACAGCATATACCTGGAGGGAGTTTGTTTTATTCTTCTATAAATAAATTTCTTATTTATTTCAACAGAAATTGAAAAGGAAAGCTGTGGGGATCCTGGAACACCACTGTATGGTATCAGAGAAGGGGATGGATTTTCTAATCGTGATGTTTTAAGGTTTGAGTGTCAGTTTGGATTTGAATTAATTGGAGAGAAATCTATCATTTGCCAAGAAAACAACCAGTGGTCTGCAAACATACCAATCTGTATTTGTATGTATCAAATATTTTCTTATTATTTTTAAGACATAACATTATGATAAGTTTTTACTTATAGTTAATAATTTGTGTGATTGATTTAAGAGTTAGCACAATAAAATTAATTCTGATGACTGGATGAATTTAATTTGATCAGTGGTGGATTTGCCTAATGATTACGCCCAAGACGGGTTCTAGAACAGCTAAAATGTTTTTTTTTTTCTTATAGCAACTATTAAAGCACTTGTCTTTATGTGATTTGATACAATGTTTTATTATTGGCTTTTTTTTGGTAGGATTCTGTAGATTTTATATGTATAATACATTTTTTATAGCTAGTCTTATATGTTAATATATTACCTTACATTAGAAGTTGTGGAATTGAAATCAAGTTTTTAAATTATTTACATTTTCCCATGTATTATATATGAATACCTTTTAGCACTTATCACAGACATTTATAGCTCTCTTCCAATTGCATTATACAGCATGAGTAAAACCAATGTTGTTATACATATTTGTGGCAGCACCTTTCTTAAATTTTCCACTAAAATAGTAAGGATCAAATATATTCAGAGAGCAATCAATTGCTGTCATCTCTGCAACTCAATTTAGTATGGCTTAACTGAATTGGCTGAATATAAAACATCATCCTGATAACAACAAACAACTGTTGTCTCTTTGAGGCTTGTTAATTTCTGGTGCTGCTGTGTGAACAACAAATGATAAGGGCACTATTGACTTTCTGCCCCTTTAATGTGCTCTGTGGGAGGTCTGCTCATCTAAATAATTCCCTACAAGAGAAAATAAGTGGTGCCAAGTGATTGTTATCATAAGTAAAGTGTAAGCACTGCTGTGGATTTCCAATGTAACAAAGATGTTCTTTATTTCTTGGGGGCTCTGCTTAGGATGTAGTTTTATTGAGAGGAAGGAAATATGAAGATTAAAAACAATCAACCTTTCTTCCAGATTCACAGATCATTAAAAATAATGAATTATCCAGTTGAGGTAATCAGCAAGTTTTAGGATCTCTTACAAAAATTTAGCACTCAAATAAGTCCTTCCTGAAATGTGTTATTCTGTTATCTAATCTCTCTCTCTCTCTTCTTTTTTGGCAGTTCCTTGCCTTTCCAACTTTACTGCACCAATGGGAACAGTTCTTTCACCTGATTATCCAGAGGGATATGGAAATAATTTAAACTGTATCTGGACAATAATTTCAGACCCTGGAAGCCGAATTCATCTCTCCTTTAATGACTTTGACTTGGAATCTCAGTTTGACTTCCTTGCAGTTAAAGATGGTGATTCCCCAGATTCCCCCATAATAGGAACATTTACTGGTGCTGAAGTTCCTTCCCATCTTACCAGTAATGGCCATATTTTGCGTCTGGAATTTCAAGCTGACCATTCAATGTCAGGACGTGGATTTAACATCACTTATAACAGTGAGTAATAGTATTTTTTAATTGTGTACCTCTTTCAACATACAGTTTAGGAGGTAGGCATAAATATGTAAACATGACACTATTGCAATACACCTTCACAAAAATGCTAAATTAGGTGTTTAGATTATCATACAAATTCTGTGCTAGGGCTGAAAGTGTGTGTATATTTTTCATTTGTGGCTTTAGAAAAAAAAAAAGTGGATATTTCTAATTTATGGCTTTAGCTATCATTGTTTGATGACTGATAAACCAGGCAAGTTTCAACTTGTATAACAGGACTTTACTAAACTTGCTGATAGTGCAGTTTGTGCTACGTAATATTAATCGCCATCATTACATGTACAAACCGTTATTCTTGAGAACTCATATGCTACTTTAGCTATGAATGTATGTATTATCCTGGAGCTAATGATTGCAGTCTGTGGTAGCTCCTAGTCACTGCAGTTAAAGTGAGCAGCCTTAGAAACTCTTATCTAAGTTAAACCACAATAGACTTGTTTTCTTTTTCTCTGTTTTACTCTCCTTACAATCATTTACTGACAGCATAATAATAATTGAAAGTTATATTAAATATCTTCACCAGTACAAAATATCATTAGCGCTTATCCACCTTAGTTTTTCCTAGCAGAACTGTTACATTTCTTCTGAAGGACGTATGAAGAGCTGCCTATGTTGTGTTTCTGTCAAGATTTTTGGCATTTATCCCACACCAAAACCCAGAAAGATGTGGTGAAGCAATTTGTAAAGCCACAGCATGAATAACTGCAAAATACAGTGGGAAACTTTGCTGGGAGCATATGCAAAATTAAATTTTGCCACTCCAGCAGTGAAATAAGAATGATTGAGTTTAGCCAAGTTGTTCCTTTTGGGGAGTTGGAAGGAAATTGGAAGGAGCGGAAATGCCTGAAATTCCAGTCTTGCAGCTATGTGTAAAGGATGGTAGGGATAAGAGAGTGTCTATTGGGAGGATCAGCATATCCTCCAATCAGAGTTTCTCTACCTCATCCACCTCACACATTTGGATTTTTTTCTTTATTTGTTTGTTTTCTTTTCTTTCTGATGTTCGAGGCTTTCCATGCCAACAGATAGACATAATGAGAAAAAAAAAAAAAAGTATATTTTGATATTCTCAAAAGTCTGATGTCATGAGTAATTAGTGCCATTCCTGTCTTTTTCCCTACTGATGAAGTGCATATATAATTCCAGAGGCTTACTTAAGATGTAAGACAATGTTCAACTGCATCATTTGAAGGAGAGTTGTATACCTACATTTCCCATTCCCAGAATAATGTGTTACCTGTTTGTCTATGTGGAAAAAAAAAATTAATCTTTGTTTTTTAAGATGTTTTACTTAAAAAACAAAACACAACACCAAAAGAAACCAAAGAGGATCCATTAAACCAAAGAGGAAATGAGATTAAGTGAGGTTTGTCATTGAGAGACCCAGAATCCACTTTTTTTTCAGGGAATGCTAAGATTTAAAATTATTTTTCATAATATTTCAAGGAATAAATTCCCCTGTGGGTCTTTACTTTTCTTACATCATCTTTCCCTCTCTGTCTTTGATTTTTCTCTCTTTTCTTTTGTTTTGTTTTAGGTCGTCAGTCTTTCAGAGAAGTATTTATTAAGACTTAGAGATGAGCTGACACCAGATTATTCTGCAAACATTCTTTTTCCAATGTTGTCTTATATTTCAACTCCCAACCTATCTTATCGGCTGAATCCTCAGTTCATTTCTCACAAATGTAGAGTGTAAATATTAAGAAAATGTGATGGCTTCTTATTGTTTTTTATCATTGCAAACTAAACTTTGAGAGGTAGCTAAATATCTTAATACTAATTATTGGAAAGTCAGGGGTTATTCAGAACTACTGAAATATAAAATCAGTTACAATTAAAATGAGATTTTTAATCCGTATTTCTTTACAGAAGTTGTAAAATTTGCTTTATATTTTCTTCTCTTGCATGTTCTTTTAACACATTTGAGATTTCTACTGACTCAAAAGTGATCAATGTTGTCAAGCCTAAATTTAGTGATGAGAAAAACAAACTCAATTATTGGAGAATCTAAGGTAGTCTTCTTGGATAAGTCTTATGTATAAGTCAATGTTTTCACATCATCCAATTTTGCAAAACTGGAATTAAATATATCTCAGTTAAAGTAGGATTTATAGTAAAAATTAAACATACAGATGATTAGCGTAGAATAATCCTTATATTTACTTTTTATTTTGAAATACAACAATTCATAAAACACTGTCAAGACCAGATTTAATATTTCAGAGCCATAGAAATATACCTTTCAGATGAATTCTGCTCCTTTAAAAAACTTACAGAATTCCTTGGGCATGTGGTAGTCTGATCACAATATCTCAATTAGCAGTCATTAAAGTTTGCACTAATAGTACCAAATGATATATTTTTATTTTTATAAAGAAGCAACCTTCCAATATTAACTTTTACCAGTTGTATAATGAAACTGACTCTGAAAAGAATTAATTTAAAGAAGTTGTTTCTATATTTGAGTAGCTAAAGACATTTATATTTTTTGTTCTTTTCATGAAGCTAGAATGGAGGTGTTCATGTATTTGTTAAACTCTGTAGCTAAAATCTACTTACAAAAGCAAAACATCTCCAAAGAATGTGTCTAAACTTTCTTCAGTAAAGACAGCTGCAGTCTGATAAATTATAGAAGTAATCTTTCCTTAATAAATAGTTTAAGGGCAAGAGAGATGATTAAAAAAAAGGAACTGGTAGAATTTCACTCTGTCTTAGCATTTGTAAACCCAAAGTTAATTAAAAGCATCAATTTTCCTCTAACGCTCTGGTTGGTATATTTCAAAGTTATCAATCTCTTTTTGCCCACTTCAAGAGTATGTCACTATTCAAGAATAGTATGTCACAGAAACAGTAGTACTTGATTACTTCTCTAAAAAGAATGTAGGCTAGTATTGTAAATATCATCATTGATGCTTCTGAGGTATTGAATGGAGAAGAATAAAACTGAGTTACTGTTACAAAGTCTGACTATTTAATGGCACTTCTCAGAAACTATTTTAGCCCCATTTTTATTTTTATTACTGCAAGATATGTGATCTCAGATAATCATTCTCCTTCCAGTATAACTAAACATGAATTCAAGTTTTGTTGGAAGTTAAATTTTGGGACAAGACCACAGAAATATGTGACTTGAAAATGTGTGATGCAGAGAATGTTACAATAACCAAAAGAATAGGAACTCAAAAGGCTATGATTTTCAGCTTGAAGGATGAGGCAGAAGTGAGTTTTACTGGGTACAGCAGACACAGGAACGTAGCAACCTGAATTTACATTGGTTTAAGTTGCTACAGAACTGCATTCTTACACCTGGCTCCTTGTTTCCCCTTTATATCCTAAACCCAGGAACTGCTAGTCACATTTCTGGTCTCTGTGAAGGTGTTTATAAAGCCAGTCATCCTCTAAGCTTCCCTCTAGTAAGCTATGTGCATTGAACTCCTCAATTTAAGGGATATTACGAGCCTTTTATTATATTTCACAATAATTTTGAGTATGAAGTATCTCTTTGTTATTTTACATTCTCTTAACTTTGGTTTCTTCTCTGATGTTTTCCTCTGAAAGGGCTATCTTTTCTACCTATTACTAGACTTATCAGCTGAAGCTCTTCATAGGGCAATCCACTAAAACAATTAATTGTGCCACTGGACCACTCCTTGCTGGTGCTATTGCCAAAGATGTTTTACAGCAGACTGTAAATTGGATGAGTTCATTTCTGCCTTCCTGTCTCATGAGATCTCTTCAATTCCTCTCCTGCACTTTTTTTTTTTTTTTTAATAGAAAATGCCTACTTTAACATCATTCTTAGTTAATATCAGAATATCATCACCTTGATCTATCATTATGCTTCCTGGCATTTTTTCCAGATATTGCTTAGTACACCTGTACAGTCATGGTAATTAATGAGTATACAGGCCAGGAAAATTAGATCTCTTGTTTACATATAATAGTTGATAAGGAACCATGGTTTCTTGATTTATTGTTTATGGGTAATATATTAATATAATTAAGGATATATACCCCTGAGTTCTTTTTCTTTCCATCCTAAGGTTTGTGTATGATAGGACAGCTCCACCATGAAGCTTTTTAGAAGCAGCAGCAGAGTGACTTTAGCCCATCAAATAACGTAACCGCAGCCAGGCTAAGAAAGTGACTGCCATTGCTGGGAAGGATTATCTTTCACTGTCTTGCCTCCCAAAGCCATTCTATACAGTACAATTAATTCCATAGGAGCAGCAGTAGCAGCAGTTCCTGAGCTGAAATATAGAGCAATGAATTGATTTTGCAGTCTTAATAAACTGGTGTCATACACAAGCAAGCTAAACCTGGCGTCAAAATTTATCTACGTTTACAGATAACAATATTGAAAATCTATCTCTGTGTTGCTTGAAGGTAGTAAGAAAAACAGACAATCAATTCCCTTCCTAAAAGTGGTGACTGTGCATAAAGTATTGGAAAATTTTTTGTAACCCTATGAAAAAGTATGGGATCGCATAATTTTTATTGTCACCCTTGAATGGTAGACAACTATTCAGTGAAAGCACTGTTTTCGTTCTCAATATCTGTGACATTTCCTAAGTCAAAATGTCAATAAATAAATCCTTTTTCTTGTCTGTTGCTATGATTTGTGATACCTTTGAAATGCAACATCTGAGAAAACTTTCTGCTAAGTTAATGAAATATTACTTTTAAAAAATTTCATGGGTATATTTTGGCCAGCAGACACATCAGTAAAACTGCAGGAAAAAAAAAGTGAAAAACATCTTTTTAGGGCATAGTCCTTTCTGATGTCTTCATATGTAAGCATATTTCTGAAGATATGATTTGAAGTCATATGCGATGAAGGTGGACATCACACTTTTAATATTTGTTCTCACTGAAAAATCATAATTTTAAAAAATATAAGATGTATGTGCAGTATTCATAAATAAAGCATCAAATGACGATAACTAATACATATAATTTAATGATAATGTTAAAAATATGACATTGCTCATTTCTGGTAGGATGATGATCTTTCTTCTCCAAGTGTAAAGTGTGTTTTATAGTAAAAGACGTGGACAAGTTATAGTATCCAGATGTATACACATAAATTAAAATTTTTCACTTTGTCCATAGATAAACATGAAATTTTGGAAAGATTTGTACATACTAGGAATTTGTTTCGCCCGAAACAAAATGCTATGTTTAAAGTTTAAATTTTCTTTCTTTTGCCAACAAAACCACTTTTGTCACTGTTCATGAGCATTCAGTACAGGAAACAAAATAAACTATGGTAGTATTAGGCACACTGAGGTCAGTATGGCTCAAATGGTATGACAGTGAATTGGATGTAAAAAAGGTGACTAAAGTTATTATAACATAGATGCTTGCCCTGACTTTCTGAAGGATGCTCCTGGCCCATTGTTACATTAGATAGGATGGACTGCTGGAAAGAAGAACTTAACCATTGCTGAAATCTGCCAGCACTTAGCTGTCCTAGATGAGATTCATGCTGGTATAACTTTATACTTTAATCAATTTTTGGCACTGGTGTACATTTTCTGCTGTTGATCAATTTTTTTTATTTCTTATTGTTACCTTTGTTTCCTCATGTGAATTTTTTGTTCTTACTTGCAGAACAAAACCCTAAAAGTGTCCTGTTACTTGCAAGAGTTATCACACTATTTCCCCTCACCCACCCTTTTTCTTTTCTTCTTAAAAAGCATTTGGACATAATGAGTGTCCAGATCCCGGAGTGCCAATCAATGCTCGGCGTTTTGGAGACAATTTTCAACTGGGAAGCTCAATTTCTGTTATATGTGAAGAAGGATTTATTAAAACACAAGGAACTGAAACAATTACTTGTATGCTAATGGATGGAAAAGTAATGTGGAGTGGACCTATTCCTAAGTGTGGAGGTATGTATGATATTTCTTTCTGGTTCAGGAGAATTTGATGTAATGTGTTTTGTCACTAAATGAAGTTCAGATTTTTGCAGATGGATAGCACAAAGCTACTGTGAAGCCTAGCCCTTAATAAAGGAGTCTAGTAAGGTATGAGTTTTTATTATAAACCTGTCTGCAGGACTGAATTTTTCTTATAACAGTTATAAGGACAGAAGATAAACATGGAAAAAAATGTCATACTTATCAGTGATGTAAACAATGCTGCATGCATGTGTAATGATGAAGGCCAACCTAAGAAACCTTTTTAGAACTGGAATGTGAATATTTTACACTCTTCATACTTTCAGATAGCTCCTATTTGGTACTGGAGGAACTATCATTTTCAAAAGATGTATTTTACTTGAAAGGATCACTCTTGCCTTTTTTTTTTTTCCCACTTCTTTTTAAAGAATATATTTGTCTGATTTGAAAAAATATTTGAAGCAATGAGTTTCAGTGCTAGAAGAGCGCCAATAATATTAATCTCTGCAGTTTGGAATTCCAGTCCAATCAATATCGTGATTGGCCTACTTAATACTTAGGAGAAAGAAATATCAGGGAAGAAGAAAATAAAAAAATCCTTCTTTTTTCTCCAAACTTTATTTTAGTATATTGGAGGCTCTTGTTCTTCAACCACGATATTTAAATCTCTTGCCAACTTGTCACTCAATGTCCTTGAGCAGAAGTCTGGGGGTTTTGTAGGGGTTTGTTGCTTTGAGATTTTTAAATTTTTTTCTCACCCAGTATCATATAGGTTTTCTTCAATATACAGCTATTGACTTCCTGATTCAAACAGATGAACAATTAAAAATTATTTGACAGCTCAGTGACATCTTAATATAATATTAGGTTAGAATGAAGATGCTGATCTCTTTTTTGGTCTTTGGCGGTGCTATTTAAAACTGCTTGAGCTGTTTTAGCCCTCTGTTGCAGTGCTTGTGTTTTTTCTATCCACAGTGACTCCTAGGCTGGGGAAGATTCCCTTAGCAACTGATCTTCCTTTTTTATAGAAATTAAATACTTCATACATCACATTGTATTTTGCATTTTTTCCTTGGACTTGTTTACACTAATAGATATCAAAATATAATTTTTACTTCATTAATTGTCTATAGTTGAAGGTCTCCTAAGGGGAGAAATTAATTGAGCTGCTTAAAATGATTATATTTAATCAATAACAATATAATATCTGATTTATGGTTTATGAGTTTTTATTTTAAACAAAATCTTAGTTTTTGTTTTCCCTATGTAACTGACTTCCTGAAAAAAATGGAGTAATTTCAATACATTAATGTGACTGCTTAAAATATCCCTCACATTTCTGTGGTAAATTATTATTGCTTTATAGATATAAGATGGGTCAGTTTCACTAGACAAGACTAGTATAGGCTATAATGCCTCTGCTTTCTTGTAGGGTTCACGGAGCTATGCAACACTGCCAATAAAATCTAAATTGCATTTTCAATGTTACATTAAAAACTTAAATTACTGGGAATATTTTTTTTAGTGTCAGTCTGTGCAGAAGACAATCTGATGGACCGTATATTGGAACCCAAAAGGTTCAGAGAAGGATATATTTGTATTAGATGTTTTTATTAGCTTTAGAATTAGATACATTTTCAAAATTTCAGATCAAATTGGAAGACAAATGAAAACATTTTCAAACTAATAATGTAATTTGGTCTGCTAAGGTGTTCAGAATTTTTAGTCATTGTGTGCACATTTGCCTGTACTACTCGGTTGTTTCATATATACTCTACACACACCTCATAATTTCATTGTCATATATATCGAGTCAAAGGCATAACCTCCACATTCTGACTAGGAGACACTGAATGTCACTGCTGTGCAGTTTCTCTTCCACTGCAGAAATGTTAGCAATTGCAATTTATATCAGAGAGCTATTTAATAATAAACGTGGTGCAGATAGACAGGGTCAGCACACTCATTTTTCAGGGCAGTCCTGATCAGCCTCTGCTGAGACTTCCTTCCAGCCCTGCCCACGGCCCAGGATCCTCTTTCTGCTCAACCTGGGGCTGTCAATCACAGCCTCAGCAAAGCTGCTGTTTTGGCTATCTCAGTGTGCCCATGTGACTTCATGGTTAGTTCTCAGAGCTAAACCATCAAATTGCGTCATCTGATGGTCATTTGGTTGTTATCAAACCTTTCTCATGGAGGTCCAGACTTGTTCACCTTGCTCAGGAGAGGTTGGATCTGTCTGTGAAGGCTCTAACTCAGTGTATCCTTGTGTATGTGTACACATGTGATCTTCCTTGGCTCCTGGCTTCTCTTCTCTAGTGGAGTGGTCCTGCTTTTGCTGCTCTCTGATGATTTTGAATTTTTAGATTCCTGTCCTTGTGCCTTTCATCCTTCTGAGAGGGTTATATGGAGGATATTCCCATAATATATTCTAATATTGTGCTGTTGTACCTGTGCTGAAGCTCTAACCTTGGTCTTCCTGCACAACTCCTGTATTGCTTAATATCCTGTGGTTCTGTAGAATTGATGATAAGCTCTTGAAAAAACATGACTAAAACTATGAATCTACAAGACATTCAGTGATTAGCCTGTCATCCTCAAAGCCTTTTTCATACTCACATACAGAAATTTCCTGTCTCAACCCCTGTACCTTACTATACAAAGAAATAAATACAAATGACTTTGTAAGAATTCTTAGATCAGACTAAGATTAGCTTTCAGTATTTGGCATATCTGTGTGTTTGAGAAAGAGATTCTGGTTGATGACAACCTCTAGTTAAGTTATATTTCTAGTGTTTTGTTTTGAACACAGAGGCATTGGGAATGAATCTGTCTGGCAACCATCAAATATAGCTAGAAAAAAGAATAGAGAATGAAAATCAATATAAAAAAGGTCAGGGAAACAATCCTTTGTCAAGATGAGAGTTTTATTTTCTAAAAAACAAGGCTCTTTAGGATAAGCCAAATAGCCTAGCTATTCTAAAGGCAAGGACTCCTGGGTCTAGGATATCAGGCTGTGATGGTGAAAGTCAAATGAAAAAAATCTTTTGAATCTTTCATTGCAAGCATCAGGAAGAACCAGAATCAGGGGATGGGTAAGAAAGATTTCTTTAAGGAAGACCCAAACCAGCAGCAAAACACTTCATTATTGTGAGACCTCAAGTACAAATTATTCCTAATTTAGGCAATTTTATAACGTGAATTATTTTTAATGTACTATTCATAGAAGTATTTTTGTAATAGAGGTTTTTTTTTCTGTATTCTAAATATAATCTTTAAGAGTGTCATGAAAATGTGGTGAGAATATGGAATTTTGTACAAGTTTAACAATAATGTATTCTAACTATGGTAGTAAAATGGCTCAGAATAAGGCCATCCAGTATTCCTATTCTCGTTGATATACTTTGTAGTTTATAGGCTCCATATACATTATGAATACGTGGCTATATACAATAAAATATAGGGATTATGAATGCTGGAGAGTTAAGCTTCTGGTTTTGAGTTGAATATGAGTTTAAATACTTTATTGCTTGACTCACACTGTTTGCTGGAGATTGTATGAAAAAGAGACTTTAACATAAAAGGTGAGAAAGCCATTTTAAAAACATCAGTGATGAAAACAAATCTATTTCTGCATAATTAGAAATGTTTGTAATATATTGAATTCTGAAATCTACATAACTTTTAGAAGCCTTTTTTTTTCCTACACAGTACAGAAAACATGGGCTGTTATGTCCTTAAAAATAAAAAATACCTATTTACAACAGTTCATGATTTTAATATAGAAGCTTAGTAATCTCCTGAGAAAAAATGAAGATCAGACAAATGTATGATAATTCATAGTCTTCAATTTGAAGTTGTGTCAAAGATAGCAAAATTAATCTATTTTTCTAGTGGAAATGTACAGAATATTATAGATGATGATACGTATGCCAGTACCAGTATGGGAGAGGCTCTCGCAAGGGCAGAGCAGAGAGGGAAAATGACCTACTGCTGACCATACTTCTTTTGGCACAGTCCAGGACACATTTGGCTTTCTGGCCTGCAAATACACATTGTTGGCTCATGTCACCTGCCAATATCCACAAGTCCCTCTCTGCAGGACTGTTTTCAATCCATCATCTTCAAAAGGTTTCCTGACATATTTCATTTGCTTTGGAAATGAATATTGAAGTGTTTTGGTAATAGGCCAAAGTTTTTTTCCCTATGTTTAGAAATTAAAGAATTAAAGCAGTTTACTAGTTCTTTTCTGAGACACATTGTTGAACAATAAAAGAAAACCTTAGCAAAATGAAAATCTTGGCCTACATATAGATGTCCATGATGTAAATAAATATGTATATGTTTCTAGTAAGTCTGGCAAAGCAAAGAAGAAAGCTCGTCTTTCCCTTCAGAAAATGAAACTGGGGGGAAAAATTCCAGCCTCAGATCCTGAGGAGCTCACCAAATCTGATTTGGTCTGGATCAAATGCTTGGTTATCAATTAAGGAAAGAATAACTAAACCCATGATAACAATAAACTGGTCATGCCTTCATAGTTCTATAGTCTAATGTATTTAGTACAATATATATTAGAACCAACAAAGCACAGAATCATAGAATGGGTAGTCTTGGAAGGAACCTTAAAGATCATCTAGTTCCAATGCCCCTGAAGTGGGCAGGGGTGCCATTAACTAGATGATGCTGCTCAGGTCTCCATCCAGTCTGACCTTGAACAACTCCAGGGATGGGGCATCCACTGCTTCTTCTGTGTAACTTGTTCCAGTGCTTCATCACCCTCTGAGTAAAGAATTTCTTCCTAAGATCGAATATAAACCTTCTTTCTTTCATTTTAAAATCATTGCCCATTGTCCTGTCACTTTCTGACTGTATAAAAAGTTCCTCATCTTCTTTTTACAAGGCTGCAATGAGGTCTCCCTAAAGCCTTCTCTTCTCCAAGCTAAAGAACTCCAGATCTCTCAGCCTGCCTTCACAGAGTGTGCCACTCAGCTTCATATCATCTGCAGACTTGCTGAGGATGCACTCGATCTCATGTCTATGCCATTCATAAAGATATTAAAGAGTACCAGTCCCAAGATAGAACCCTGAGAGATATCGCTCCTTAGCACCCTTTTGAATGAAGAAATAATGTTTTCCTAGTGTTTGTAAGTTACCATGTGACCTACCTGATTGTTATGTATGATAAAGTTCATATGTATACATATATGCATACGCTGAAGTTGGCTATTTTGTCTAGATGTCTAGATATTTTAAATTTCTAGAAAAATATTATGATTTGTTACCTCTTAAAAATGGTAATACTTCTAGTGATTCAATTACTGAATTTCTTAGATAACTGAGGCTAATTCTGTGAATTGATTTCTCTAGGGAACATCAATCTACTACTGAAAGTAAATAAATAAAAGCATGCCAAGCCCTACTACTGTATTTTCCTCACCTATCCATAACAGAGAGGAGAAGATGATCTCACAAAAGTGTGATGTCACATGCACTTGACTTTCATGGGCATGTAGATCCATCAGGTGAAATGGGTTTGCATTCAAGCATGAAATTGAAAACCCATATAGAGCTTTGCAAGACTAAAACCTAACAGATCTGTCCTTCAGCAGTGTTGGTCTTGTGGTTCTTACTCTACCAACCTGTGAGATTATATCATCTTTGAGATGGACTTTCACCCTCCATAGCCAAAATCGGCTTCAGTCAAACTTTATTGCTACTTCTCAGAATGCCTGTCTATGACTGTCTTAACCCTGAGGAATGAATGGAAAGTTCCCTTATTCTGTACCAGATTTTCTTCAGCTATTTGTTAACTGAGTTGGTTAGAGCTTTCTACCAATAATACCAAGGTCATGAGTCCAATCTCTGTATGGGCCATTCACTTCAGATCCTTGTGGGTCCCTTCCAGCTCAGAATATTCTGTGATTCTGGTCTAGCGGAAGGTGTTCCTGACCATGGCAGGGGAGGGGAGGTGGTGGTATTGATTTAAAAATTGTTTTCAAAGAAATGCTCTTCATCCTTTTAATTCTTACAAGTTGTGGAGATCATTACTGTAATTAATGTGCCATTAAACCACTGAAATACTTCAAATTACTTACTTGTTCTAAGAGAAAAATTACATGTTATTTCTAGTAATTCTGCTTGCGGAATATTTATATATATATATATTTTCCAAGTGCTTAAAAAATATCAGCTAATCCTGGAAGAATGGTAAGTAGGTCTTTTTCATGAATGAGGAATAAGAACTGCCAACATGACAAGCAAAATATATGTGGTATAACAGTGGATTTATGTCAAAGTTAAATAACACTTCACTGCTTTCTAGCTTTTATACTCAACTAAAACTTTTCCAAGTTTTTCAAATCTCTCTGCTCAAAATTAAAAGCAAAAATAACAACATACTGCAGAAACTATGCTTTGGTTTATGTCCTTTATTGCAGGAAAATAGATTGTACTATAAAGATACAGGAGAAAAAAAACCTTTGTCAGAATTATTGAACAGTTTATTTTAAGTTTTTAAGGGTCTTAATTCAGTTATCTCCATCTAATTCTGAACACCATAGAATATATCAGCTTTGAAACCTTTTTTTGCATCTTCTGGCAACTGGATTTTTAAAATTTATTTCTTACAGTTGTTCTGTATTAAAACTTATAATTGTGAATCATGTGTAATAAGATTGTGTTATTTACCTTTTTCTTTGTTTCATTTTCAGCTCCATGTGGTGGGCATTTTTCATCTCCCAGTGGAGTAATTCTCTCTCCAGGCTGGCCAGGGTATTATAAAGATTCCTTGAATTGTGAGTGGGTGATAGAAGCTGAACCAGGACATTCTATCAAAATTACATTTGAAAGGTCTTTGCTAATGTTTTTCTTTTTTAATGTTTTCCAGTTTTTACTCAGAAGCAGGAGTTATTAGCTTTGCCATAATGTTAGTTTTCACTGTCACTAAAATCAAGCAATTGTAGTATCAGGTAGGACTTTCCAAAACTCCTTCAGAGCATAAATTTTATCTTCAGTGAAATTTCTACTTGAAGTGCTGAGAAGCTTTTGAAATTTCAACCCTCTTGCACATATTTAAGCCTGTCTGGCCCAGTTAAAAACTCTGTCTATTTTTAAAGATTAACTTTCTTTAATTTGCTTGTAACTATATAGCTATGATGATTACAGAGTTCATTTTTTCTCTCAAAACCATGAAGTTTTCAACTCTAAAAATCTGAATCAACTGTGAAAACTGAATTGAATGCATTCATATTTTTTTCCATTCTGAATACTTAATTATCAAATCAGATGATCTATTTTTGTAAAAAGACTGTTTACTCTCAGATGGAGTTCCACTTTCCTCAGATTACTTCAGCATTCCATTTTTTCTTACGTTACTGTGTCTGTCTTATTAAGGTCCATTCCTGATTCTAAGGATTGAAATGTGCTGAGCGCTTTATGTTTCTCATACCATTTAATTTAAGTTCTTTATTAGAAAGCAAACCAAAACAATTCAATCAAAGAATGTTATTCTACATATTTTCAAGGGTGTTTCACATTATTTTTAGTTGTAAATATTAATAAAATTATATGAAAATCCAGGAAAAATAGTGCCTTTGATGATCAAAGTTATAGTGCACAAATATCATGCAAGTACTTTTCAGTTAATATTTATGTAGCATATTTTGACTACTCCTGGATACACTTGATTAAAAGAAAATATATTTCTTCATTTTAATACAATTCAAAAGTAGTTTTAAGCAATATATGAAATCCGTATTCTCTTAGCAAAATTTCTCATTGTGATAAGATAGTTTAAAACTTTTTTCTAGTACTGTTGCTTACACTATAATAAAGGGATCATGGAACGTCATATACAGTCAAAGGACAAGTAATAAAGACATTTCAAAGGTATTCCCTATCCTTTACATCAAATGAAAGCTCATCTTCCAAAATCACTATTGCTATTTATCACTGCAAATAAAGACTTTTTGCCAGTTAGAATATAATAAAAGGATGAATAACTCCCTCTAGCAAAAATTAATCAAAACTCATATTAATTCAAAATTAAGAGAAAATTATTGTTTCCTGTCTTGTAAATCAAAATGAAAAATAAAAAAATGAACTTTCATTACCTTATTTTTTTAAAAAAAGTTATACTTTCAAATATTGTATTTTTAATTCAGTAATTCATTTAAACTAGATTTGATGTGGACAGTCATTTCAAAGTGAAAAGCACTTGCATATTTGCGAAATACTAAGCCAGCTACATTTTCTTTCTTTGCACTGAATTTTAATAAATATGACACTTTCTTGTGTACATTTTTTGTTTTTAATGCATTAATGCTTTATCATAAAATTGCACAACCTCTGTTCCTCTTGTAAGAGCAACAAAAACAAGAAGTGGTCTCTTCAGATCGGAGAGATCTTCAGATCTTCTATCCTCTTTAAGACACTTCCATTGCTGCTCATTTTTGACAATCTTGACACTTGTCATAAATTGGGCTGATATGCATATTGCTCAGATGCAGCAACTCAGAGAGGTTCCACTCACATATAGATGTGTGTTCTCTTATGTGCCTCTGTGCAGAAGTGCTTGTAAAAATGCATCAATGTACATTTAAACAGATGCACAGTTTGAGTAGTTATTTGAAAGATTTTTAATTTCTCTGTCAGGGAAAAATATTTACCGTACATGTCTAGAACCTTTACCTACCTTTTGGATTTTCTAGGATGAAGGGAACAGTTCTTACTAATACACATTTTCTGCAGAGTGAAAGCTTAGTGTTGCATCAGTTTCCCACTTGTAGAGTAGTTTATTTACTTTTAATCTCCCATCTTCCTATCTTCCAATACCTTCTCTTGTGTGACATTGGATAGGTGCAAGGTACTGCATTCCATGGCTGTATGCCAAAGTGTTCCTGTGCCAAGGAGCCAGAGTATACATGAAAAGAAAGATCTACAGATATAGTGAATAAAAATAGCTATTAATTTTTGTTCTTTCAGTAAAAATAATTTTTTAATATTTTGTTTTATGGTTGTGCATGTATACTTTAAAAATTTATTCCTCTTCTACAGTAGTAAATAAAACAGATAATATTCTGGTTTTTTGTTATAAATCAGTATCTTTTTAGGCTCAGTTGACATGACAGAAATGATAAATGGCAGTACCATTCTTCATTGTAATGAAGTGTTTATCATGTACCCTAATTATGAGTATATAAATGCAAGGTAGCAAACTACTGATTTGAGCACTAGTCACATTTGTCTGATGAGTATAAACTGTGCAGCAGGATATCCTGACATCACATTGAGCTGGTAGGGGGGTTCTTAGAAACAAAAGTGCATGTTATAAATATTAAGGCAGCTTTATTGATTCAAATAGGACCTCTTCTAAAAATTGTGTGTCACCTCCTGTGTTAGAGCAGACTCCTGTCTGCTTCTGACTCCTACATAAGAATAGACCTCACATAGCAATGATGACATCCAGGTCAATTTAAGAATAGTGATCAGTTAATTAGGAAAGGACATTGGAGTGGTCCTACATGAAACTTATCCCATTTCCTATAAATCCCTACTGTTTTCTCACACCAGAGAAACAAACAGGTGACATGTAAATATGTCAGATAAGTTGAGCATCAAGAGGGAAAAATTATATAAACATCACACTTACAAATTAAATTCAAATTGATCATTTTTTGAGCCAAATGACCAAGCAAAGGCATTGTACATAATCCCCCCTTCAAATTTCTTTCACTTCATCTGACTTAAAAATGGTTCTTACTTTTTTTTCTCAGGTGATTACTAATTTTTTTCATTCTGCTCTTTGTGGTGATGTATGTAGTCTTTGAACACAAAATACGTATAAGAGGATTGCTTTTGCGTCTTTGGGAATTAAATTTAATTTCAGTATGACTTGACTAACCTGATGATTGCATTACATTTGTAAGGTCCATGCCTTTTTTACACCTTTGACCTCAAGCATCTTTTTGATAAAGGGACTAAAAAAGCAGAACAAGACTAAATGATTTGTTTCCAAGATTTCTTCTATTTTGTATGGATTACTAGGAAAAAAAATTAGAAAAAGCAAGTTGCTGCCTAGTAGGTATCACTAATATACCACTTTGAGTTCATGTGGGAACTAGCAAAACACGAAATATTCAGTTTTTCTCCTTCTAGGATTATCCCACCTCATTTCTGTAACTCCTTATTACTTTATTTCTGTACTCTTTTAAATGTTATTTCATATGAGTAGAACACTGGTAAAACACAAGTTTTGGACGTTTAATTTGTCTTCTTGTCTTTTGCCAGACTCCATTAGATCTTAAGGCTCAGACTCTTGGGATATAAATATTGAAATATCAGCTTCCTCGGTGCATTGGCATTAGTCACGCAGTTCTTTGAATGACTTTCACAAAGCCGAATTAGGCATCTAAGTAAATCAGAGAGAGAATTAAGAATATCTGAAGGGTGCTTGTAAGAACCTGCTGTTAATCGTTGCTTTTTAATTCTGGAAGGGTTTTTCAATAATCCATCAGAGTACCTTATAGAGCAGGATGATTGATCTAAGGTCTGTCATAGCAAGAAAGAGAGAAACTGCTGTCAAAATCCCAAACAGGAGTTTGGGATTGCTGATAGCATCTAAAACAAGACAAGAAAGGAGATATCTAGCAGCACTGTCACACTCAGCTTTTCCTTGACAAGGACAGCACATACGCTGTCTTTAAACACTCGTCTTGTTTTCTTGGTTTCTGGTACTTTCTAAATAGGATTTTTAGTTGTGGGGTTTTTTTGTTTGTTTTTATACCCCATGACCTCTGTCACCACTTTGGACTGGCATAAAGCCACTGGAGTCTCAGTGCAGACTCAAATACTTCTATTCCTGCTTATAGAGGATTTTAAGAATAGAAACTCAAGAGTATGATTCTTTGATAATGTAAAGTACCTTGATGATATTTGTGCCAAAAAGATTAGATAAACTAAAAGAATGGATCAACAGATCCTCCATATAATTTTCTTAATTATTCAAAAATCCCCATAATTTTATGTTTTAAAGTAACATATGTAAATAATATTAATCTTTATTAACAAAACATGTTTCTGGATTTTTTTTTCCTGCAATACAAACCAGCTCAAGGAGTTGAAACTTATTTCTCATCTTGCTAAGCCACTAACCTGAAATTTTATTGTTATATTAATTATATAGGAAAAATAATATTTTTGTATTGATACTGTAAAATAGATATGTGGAAAAATATTATCAGGGAAGGAGTATAGTTTAAAAATATGGTGTTATTGAATTTTTTGTAACTGTCCCTTTAAATTTGTGCATCTGGGTGTTTCCTTAATTCCAGATTTCAGACTGAACTCAATTATGATGTTTTGGAAGTTCATGATGGACCAAACTTATTATCTCCACTTCTGGGATCTTACAATGGTACACAGGTCCCCCAATTTCTGTTTAGTAGTAGCAATTTTATTTATCTTCTCTTTACAACTGATAACAGTCGTTCTAATAATGGATTCAAGATTCACTATGAAAGTAAGTAATTCTGTATTGTATTATTTGATTTCCCCTCCCTCTGAATGCTTATTTTTGTCATAAATATATAAAGATTTACAGATGTCATGTTTGGTAAATTCCTGTTATTTCTCAATCTGAGATTTAGCAATATTAAACTGGAAAAGGGATGAACACTGATTTTACTTAAAAATTAATATAATTGATGTACTCCTCTGTGCTTTAAGAAACAAAAGATGAGAATGGGAAGCAAATGCATTTCTTCTGGATGCTGTTTTAAGGCTTGATATTTTTATATTTTATACAATACATTTTTATGTGTAAAACTGCATAAGATCAGGAAGATTATGCAAATCTAAGCAAATAACTGAATTACTGTTCTGACTGATGTATCTGCAGCTCAAACCGAAGGTAAGGGGAAATGCACTTTACGCTAATGAGCTGAAAATCAAGCTGTGGAATTGCTTGCTTATGGATTTTGAGAGTTTTAAAAACATGCCTATGTTATTTTTTCTGGTATAGTAGTCTTTTGCCATTATTAGAGTAATATAAACTACACTGAAGAAAACATATGTAAGATTTGATACTTTATGAATTCTTACAATTCATTTAAGTTTATAAATTCTAATTCAATTTTCATTTTTGCATCTCTAAATATAACTTTTGTTGAAATAATTTATATTTTTAAGAGAATTAATATTTCTACTATAATCACTATCTGATTTGCTTAGTAAAGGTCATAAGCACATTGTCCATTTCTATTTCATACACCAGCTTGTTGGAACTACCACCAAACAGTTTTCAAAAGTTCTTAATTTTTAACATTATGCACTAGTGGAGAATAAAAGTTAAAGTTATGATATCAGAGAACACTGAAAATATACATTCTTATCATTTGTACACAAATTGAACAATTTTCAGTAGTTGCTTTTCTGTTTAATTGCCCCTGTTTATATGCAGACATCTAATATTACTTTTATTTTTTCTTAATTCTTACTGATTTCTCATCTTGTATTATCCAGTATAACCCAATTCTGATTTCCCTTTTGGGAATAATAAGGACTAATGGTTCCCTCTTCATTTCTCCCTTCAAATATTGTAGTGAAAGCTGAAGTCTTTTATATGTTCTTATCTTTTATGCTAATTATTTCTTTTCACACTGAATTTCTTTGTAAGTAAGGATATTTTATGACTTCTGTGTAGGAATGAAAGGAATAACACCCATAAAAAATTTTAAAGTTAATACTTCTTATAATTTTTGTATTTCAGTATTATTCCTGGAGGGGTTTTTTTCTCATGATTATTTTACAATGAACTTCTTTATATGAACTTTATATGTGAACTTCTCACTGAGAAATAATCTAAAAGGTTTAATATTTTAGCATACATTGAAATTTCCTTTATCAAGTCAACTTTATTCTATTTTCTGCTATTCTTTGTCTTCTCAAAGTCTCATATATCAAAGAGCACTAGATATGAGATATTTATGAAAATAATTTATCTATCTAAATATTTCAAAAATCAGTATCAAAAGAAATCAAAATCATTTTAGCTATGCTAACAAATTTTGATCAGGGAAAAATAAAGACTGGAAATCAGGATTTTGAGTGATCATGAAGGATTTTCAATATCAGCATGAGGTACAAAATCACTTAATGTTACTGAGATAGAATAAAACCAAATATCCTGTAAATTATGTGATATTTTTCTCTGCACCAGTGGCAGGATGCAAGTTGTTACCCATGGCATCTTATAATGGTAACAGAGAGAAACAGTGCAAAGATAAATCATTGTAATACAAGATAATGATGCCTTCACGCCCACTCATAGCACAATCAATTACTTGAATGAATTTTAAGAAAATCTATAGATTGTTTGTTTAACTTTCTCTTTGCTTTTCCTTCTTTTTTTTTTTTTTTTTTTTTTTTTTTTTTTTTTTTTTTTTTTTTTTTTTTTTTTTTTTTTTTTTTTTTTTTTTTTTTTTTTTTTTTTTTTTTTTTTTTTTTTTTTTTTTTTTTTTTTTTAATCTAGGTGTAACTGTTAACACTTACTCTTGCTTGGATCCTGGCATACCAGTGCATGGACGTCGTTATGGACATGACTTCTCTATAGGTTCCACTGTCTCATTTAGTTGTGATCCAGGTTATAGGCTGAGTCACGAGGAGCCTTTGCTATGTGAAAAAAATCACTGGTGGAGTCACCCCCTCCCAACTTGTGATGGTAAGGATGAATGGATTAAATACAGAGTACCTTAAAATATGTAAATTTAATTAAACCATTATTAATCAAATGAGTTAAATATTGGAGCTTGGGAAAACCTCTGTTTTTAGGGAAGAAAAAGAATACTTAGAGGAAATAAACGTTATATAACTCCAATGAGACATACAACCATTAAAGCAGAGAATGATTCATAGTTGTTTAGCTCTGCAGATTACTGAAAGTATGTCTATCTGGATATATGTTGCTGTGAGCTGATTGCAAAGTTAATGTGTGTCTGCTTGTAAATCACTCATTACAAACTACAAATATTTGTGTTTGGGTACCCATCTATGGACATAGGTGTGCTGCTGTACAAAATATGAAATAAAGTTTATTTATACCTGACTCCAGACAAGCATTTTCTCTTGTTTGATGCTGGTCACTGTGCTCCTAACTTGTTAACAGAACTTGACAAATTTTAATCACTATAGGAACTTATTAGGGCCACATGATACCTGATCAGTAAGTGTATGATTATTAAACCGGGCAAAAGTGGGATTGAGTAATAGGTCTCCATCATATCATTAAAAATTCTGCTTAAAAAATTATCTAATATTTTCAGTAATCTCTTGTAATCTGAATTATTCATTTTAATGTTTTCCCAGTTAGGATGATATCAATTATAGGTAATATTAAGAAAGTAGATTGCAATGTTCATTAAACTGTGTTGTTTGAGATGTTTACTTCATGAAATACTTTTCTTGCTTGGAGCATGGCACACGTTTTTCCGATGATAAAAATGCTGTCAGGAATAATATAAACATTTATTCTAGGCCAGTATTTAACAAAAAATGTCTCCTGAACTTTTATAAACTACAGAATGCACATGATAGTATATTTTTCTAAAACAGTTCCTAGTGTCTCAGGACACTTATTTAGAAAGAAAAAAGGTGAATCTGAATGAAGACTGATGAAGAAGCTCACTGATTCATGTGTGATTTGCCATATGGAAATCTATTAATTTTCAATGTTTCTTTCTTTAAAAAATGGTAAGGATTTTCTTGGTCTTTGTTTGGATAGGAAGTTCTTTGGGTTTTTATATTTCAGTAAGTTGAAAGTGCCGGTATATAATGATACTTCAAACTTGTGGTGGTAAAAGGGGGTGTGAATAACCACTTTCCTGAACATGGCACTCTGTAGTTATGCAAGCCCATTTCCTAAGGGATTATGCATCTCACACGGGCTTTGAAATGAAGAATTCCAGGGTTCCCACAGTTTGCAGTCAAGGGAACTATACTTTGCTGAATAGGCCATAAAATTAGGATGTGTTTTCTCATGGTGATAGGCACTAGATTGTAACTAGGTGGAACAAACAGTATTAACACACTCCCTATGAATACTGTGCTCTGTTGTTAATAAACTTGTATATTGTGATAAATTTTTTGGTAAAGATGCTGAACTAGCATGCAATTCATTAAGTACGTGAGGTGTTTTTTTTTTTCTCTAGAGCATATTGCTAAATGGCAATTGTCTATTCAATAAATATGCTCTGAAGGTAGAATTAAGTACATTTATTCTACCAAATTTAATCAATAATGGTTGAACTAATTTTAACTTCATTGCTGATTTTCTTCTCTGGTGGAATGTTTTTTTAATAGGATCCAGAGTCCTTGCACCCTCAGGAAAAAAAAAAAAAGGACATTTGCTAAATGTTCTGTTCTTTGCATAAACTACAAGTATGGGTTTGTATTAACCACACTACCAGTAAACACATCACTCACTCCTACTGCTCATTTGATTGTTCTTTTTGATAATTGTATCTTTTTTATAATCTCATCATGTAGCGATATGGAGACAAACCATGATAATTATGCAGACAGATCATGACAACTCGTGTGTGTGAGTTTTGGAGAAGAACGTAAAAAGAAGAAAGATTTAGACTTAGAACAAGTTCTTCCTCAGAGTAGAAGATGGTTTTGACTGAAATTCTATTAATGAAATTATATTCATGATGTGTTTGGATGTTGCACAGAAAAACATAAAAAAAAAATAGTTTTGAGCTTTGCTGAGAAAATATTGCTTGTATTACATTTACACCATTCCTCTCTAACAACTACATATGATGCACTGTGTACCTATATATCTGGAAAGCCCTGAATTTCTTGACTGTAATCACCTCCCAGTTCTTCATTAAAAATTTTGTCTTATCATGTCCTTTCTGTATGAATATTATAAGAAAATTTTGCTTTTAAGCTTTGAATATTTGTGAGAAAACCTATTCTACTCAATATATGAATTATTGTATTAATGTCATTAAAATTACAGGAAAAATAATGTAAAAGTTAGATACCTAATTAAGAGTGTAAAGTGCTCTTTATTTCCTTCATCATAACATGAAATTGAATTTTAATAGATAATAATGGTAAATCAATATTTGAATTAAAAATAAATATTGTCATTCCACCTGATCTTCATTTACCTAAGAAAATTAATAAATAGAACGAAAAATATTCAAGCAAGATAGAAAACATTTAATGTTTATATTGGAAACCCCTAGATGCCCCAATGAATCAGCAAATATGACTTATGCATTACCATGAGGAACTTATTCAGGAAATATGGCAGAGATGTTATGTAATTTCTGTTGACATCTCTAAGATAAAAATAATACTTCTATTAAAATACAACTGTTACAAACCTGCTGCAAATATTCAGTGAGGTAGAGGCCAAAATTGGAAGCAGATAACATATCTTGGTCTATTTGAGATTTAAATAAGAGGGTAAAAATGCAAGGTTATGTTGTGAGTAATCTAGGCTGCACTAGTTTCAATTAAGATAATCTCTTGTGTGTTATAACTCAAGTCCAAGGTTTCTTTCTGGAAGCTGATTAAGATAATGTGATGCCCATATTGTTAATTTATCATAACTGAACTGCATCCTGTTGTAAGATTGCATCCTGTGTAATTAGGGAAGACAAATGCTGAAGTTTCTTGGTCTAGGAAGTACAGTGTACAAGATCAAAATCTAATTCACTGTTTCAATAATTTTAAACTGTTTATATGTCACTTTTATTATCGAATTGCACAATAAATGAAAACCACTCTAGAATTACATTTTTAGTTGGAAGTTAGAGTTAATTAAGCAAATAGATGTAATGAGGCCTCTATGTGTTTGTGCACATATATATTCATATCAGGAATTATGTGTACACAAACACATTTACGTATAAATGGGTTTTGCTTTTTGTGTCTCTATGGTTCCTTCTGAACTAGAATATGTTATTAGTCTTTTTCAATGATACTTAAAAACTAAAAGTAATCATTATTACTAACCAATTATAACTGAGTGTTTTGTCTTCCCATCACCCCTAAAAAAAATTAGTTTTCAGTTACTTTCACTTACAACAAACTGAACTTACTGAAAAAAGAGGGGTTTTTTTTGAAGGCTTCTCTTCTTATAAGTATTTTCTCTTTTCTGAGAAAATTGCGATACACTATTGTATGTTAGTGTCTAAGCTGTGTTTGGTAATCCATGGTTAATCTCTTGAAAAATCTTTATATAAGAAAATGATAGTTGATATAAATTGAAAATGTGGAAAATGTTAATTTCCAATATATCTTCAATCAGACAAAAAAGGTAAAATGTTATGTCTTTTTTTTTAACTGCATTACTTGTTAACAGCATTTTTAGAAACACATGCAATAAATGTGTTTCTATATATTTGTACCTATTTTTATATATTTCTATATTATTTTCTCCTATTTTACTAAAATAACTCATACATTCTCTTGATAGTTTTCTATCAGTTTTGGATATGATGACCCCCTTCTTCTCACATCCAGGTTTCTTGACATTTCATATAACCACTATACTCTACAAATTCTGAGACTGAATGGTGTTATGTCAAAATAAATTATTTTTAAACAGATAGCAAATGTTTTCATAAATCTCAGGTGTCAGAGAAAATTGTTGAGTTTTATTTCATGATGTAAAAAACAAAATTTAAGATGGTTTTCTGTGGATACGTTCTAAGCTAGCTATACAGGATGACCCCAGGAAGAGGACATACAAACTGACTTCTGCAGTTAAATATAAATGGGTTAAAACCAGAACAGAAGATATATGAAAGTAAAATAAAAATAAAATAAAATAATAATAAAAAAAAAAAAAAA